CGAAACCCTGCTGAGCATCAAAGAAGAGACTTTCGAGTCAGAGCATGCGTAATTTCTCTTTTCGAATGGTGACTCCCAGTTCACCTTGGCCAAAAGAATATTGAAAGTTACTAAAGTTACTGGACAAAATTGCAAAGTAGTGTAAAGTATAACAGTGCTATAATTTTCTGCGCTCTTCGTGTCGTGTTGTAGGATAAGTTGCTGCCAAAAGCACACACGTCAGTCTAACAGCGTCTTACACCGCATTTCGGAGCACCATTTCAATACATTGCAAGACTTTTTTTAGCGTTGAAACTACAAACAGTGCGGTCCTTTTAGGAGAGTGTAATCAAGAGCAATTCGGCTTTTTTTCCCACAATCCCGTTAGCGGCTGTACGTCTTAGGTCTTTCCGGCTCGTTTTCATAACAAGCAAGGGTGGCCGAGCGGTGAGAGCACCGGCCTGTCACCGCTGTGGTCCCGGGTTCGATTCTGACTTGGGATCATATGTGGCTTGAGTTTGTTTCTGTTCTCACACTTGCTTTGAGGTTTTTTTTCCGATTTTTCCTCCCTCATCAAAAACGGAACATTTCGATCCTACTAACTGTGCTCCGTGATCAGATATGTGNTGTATTATTGCTATAATTTGCCTCACTTTAAATTGCTATAATTTAATTGTGGTGGTTAAAGCGCGAGATAGACGTCATGCCCTATTTTGTGACGTATTTTTGTTTATCAATACATGAGACCGACGTCATACCTGCTCTGTGTTCCATCAAAGTGAAAACATGGCCAGAAATTCCGGACATTTGAGCTCGTGACGAGTCAGCGGGTTTTCCCAACAAAATAGAGCTTTCTACAAGTTCCCTTGACAAGGTTTGAACTTTTTAAGATCAAATTTTCTACTCTTGTGCAAGGATCCTTTATCTTAATACCATACAGGGTTATCGAAACGTTCAAAACATCGACAAACGAGCCTGGGATAGCACTTTCTGCTCCTTGAATTCATACAAGCTTGTGAGGTGCTCGTTTGGAATGTTCATAGTGTAAATAATATTATTTGCTAGAACACACGTTTGCCTCAGGTATTTTAAACAATGATCAGTTGATATTGTAATATTTTGTTTATACTTACTTGTACATTTCTAAGGAATTTAAAAGTTCTGACATTGTTTACACTAAATATCGGAGACTTATTTGGTCTATCTTTCGTTCGTATTTCCCGCTATTTACCAGTGCGCTCGAGGCGCCAGTAAAAACCGCCAAAATTAAAGCAGTCCCAGTCTGAAAGCCACGTTTCTAAGGCTTATTTTGGTACCAAATATGGCGAATAAAATGGAAAGAAAATGGAAGATCGAGGCCAATTATTCACGTGAAGCAGGAGTCTTCGCCAGCCATTTCACCGTCCAGTTAGTGTTTTAAAATTGAACGATTTCTAGTACCAAAAAGGACGCTGTTTATCGTCCTCAAAATAGCTGAAAATCGCTGTGTTTCTAGCTCAATGTGTGGACTTTGAGAAATGATCTTTTAAAAATTAGTGACATGTAAGGAAACACGATCAGCTACGGTGAACGTTCGCCTCTTCGCGGATTTTCACCATAAAATACAAGGGCAAAGGAGACGACGAAAGGAAAAGAAATTTGTCAAAAAGGACGCTCTTAACAATTTCGTATTTATTTGGCTTTCCTGTAGTGGAATCAAGAATAGTTTCCCTCTAGGAATTCATCTTGGAAAACGTTCCAGGTAAAACAGATCAAATGTTATTATCAAAAACAAGGGGCCATTTCATTGCGCATGCACGATGCACTTGAGCTACCTTGGTCACAGCACTGTTTCGCAGCTCGTTTTCGGCCGAGATGTTTACATAATTTACGTTCAGGAAAATACGCTTTTTCATTCTTCAACAACTAATTGATTAGGTTCAAACGTCAAGTCTAGTATCGAATATGTGTTGAAAGTCTTATTCAAGTTRAATTTCTGGAGTATATCTGCTTAAAATATGGTTAAAAATCATACAGGGTGACTGACTTGGAGAAGATAAAATGGCGACTGAAATGTGGTCAAAGCCATACTTTGTCGTTGGTTTATCTTAGGAAACAAGACGCTCTGGTGCCTGTTCTTATAGCCATGTAAATTGGATGCTATTTGTACTTTATGACAACATTTTGTTTTGAAATCGCTTGCAATTAAAGCGGCAAGATTCACACAGCCTTTATGCGATAATTGTTAAATTCGCGCTTTTTGACATTTTTCATCTTGAAATATTATTAAATCTAGTGAAAATACCAATGCGAACCAAGCAGAAATGATTATAATCGTATGTATTGATACTGTTTTATGAATNCTGACTTGTGTGAGAAAATACCACACTTATTTCATTTGATTTGATGTCCTTTGTTTCTTTGCTTCTGATATATCAAATTTGAATTTCTTGAAAAATTGGCCAAGGTTGGTAAATTTGCAATATTCTACCATATGATGCTCTGTTTTGCCTGTCATAAACATGAAATAAAACTCAATATCCACTTGTTAAAGCTTGTTTTTAGCTACAGACAGGGGCTAATTCAGCTGGTGGACGCAGGGAGTTTGCAATAACCCCCTCGCCCCCTCGAGACTTAGTATGCTTCCTTTTATTTGTGTCTACTTTGTCATGGTTTCTTGGAGAGCTCCCTGGCTGAATGCCCTGTACCCCTCCCTGGAAGTAATGTAATCTTCACATGCAACATGCAAATATGCAACATTTCTTTTGATTTCATGTATTGTTATCTGATCTTCTTATCTTATAAAACAGGTTGGGAAGGGGGCTATAGCTTCCCAATATTGCTCAGAAAACAAATTTTGAAATAGTATTAACGTTTTTTTGATGGAATCCGCTAATTTTTCAAATGCTATCCGAACTCGAATGCTCCTCAGTCCCTGATTATTATACTTAAGTTATGTTTTATCAAGCGCCACAAATACGCGCGTCCACCCCTAGACGTTTGATTGTTACAAACTAGATCTTTTAGCTATGTTATTGCAGATCGATAAAATTCTTTTTAATTTTTTTTGTATTGTTATTAATTGTTGCATTCTTTATTGCATTTTCAATTTCTTTATTACGCTCGCAAATAACGATGGAACCGAAAATATAGGGAAATAAAGGAATGTACGATAGCTTTTCGCCGTCTTGTAACAAATGAATGAGCGGGTAGCCTGTTGTGAGCCTGCAAGTAACAATGCGACAATACAGCTGCTCGCGCATGGTCATGCAAAATGGCCCCTTGTTTATTATCAAATAGTTTTTTTGATCCGTACATTTCTTTGTAAAATTTAAGAAATATGTTTTTATGCTTTCTGCGAAGTACCGCTGCTACTGCGGGCTCGTATGTCTGGATTTTCTGGCCTTGAGGTTCCTGGACCTGACTCTCCATGACTACTCCATGCCTTGGACCGAGGAAACTGCTCTGGCTAATTATTCTTTGCGGACTTCAGAAAGGGATTTTATCTTATCCATCATATAATTTTATTGGACAAACTTCGAGGGTTTGACCTACATCCAAGCATGCCACGCTGGATTGCTGCGTTCCTTGAAGGTCGTTCTACTGCAATGTTTTCAAAAATATAATTAATCTGCACAGATCTTGGTCAGGCGCTTTATTAATAGCATTTTTTATTGCTGTCAGTCCGGGGGGGGGGGGGGAACTCCCATATATTTGCTATACGGGGACGTGCCGCTGGCCAGGGTATGGTTTATGGTCTYGCTGTCTTAAACAGGGTTTATAAAATAACTTTCATATTATGCGCGCTCTGATTGGCCAAAAAGCCGTGTTTTATGAGAGCATAAAACTGTTTTTTATTCCCTAAATACATTTCACCTGAAAATGTCTTAAACAGTCTCTACAATTTAGATAAAAACCGATATAATGTCTTGGACAGGGTAATATTTTCATAAGAAATACCGTTTCACTGTATCAGGATTAACGTGTTATCAAAACCTTCTTATTGTCTTTGATCGATGTAAGTATAATTTCAGTTTTGATGGTTGCGGCGTAGATAGTGATAGTGATTTTTCCGATTTGTCTTGAACAGGGTATGTATTTTCACTTTCTAGTGTCTTAAACAGGGTCAGGGTTTTAAACCGCTGGCGGCACGTACCTATCACATTTTATAGTTTACTTTGCTGCAACAACCTTGGTGTTTGATAAAAGAAAACCTAGCTTTCGATCTACGCGGTCATCTTCAGGGTTACAATGAATCTYTCGTTACAAATAGCATACGTTTTTCGTTCTACGTTACACTTTGCAATTGTGTCCAGTAATTTTCAATATTTTTTGGACAAGATAAACTGGAAGTCAACATTCGAAATGAGAATACGCATGCCCTTTCAGTGTACGTGACTCGAAAATCTCGTTTTTGATGCYCATAAACGACGGTCAAATTCTAGTTTCGGTCTCTTAATTTGCTCGCTTTTACGAATTTTGCTCACAAATACAATAACACTTTACATATAAGTACATTTCTCCAAGTYAKCCTGAACAGGTTCTTTTGAATGGTGATTAACTTAAAATCAATCTCTCTAGTTTCTTAAAGTGCCTATGACGCCTGACGAAAAAATTTCTGATTCTATATAAAATAAATAATTGAATAGTGAAATATTCCTGGATTTCAATGTTGCGTCTTTGAGTTATGAAGGTTCAATCTTTRCAATATTTTAATTAAAATGACGTCAAAGAACAACCTCGACCCCTAGATATACGAACTTTGAAGGAGTCGCTTAAAAATGGCTGTTTTTAGTCTCAGAAATTAGTCATAGAACAATATACTAACATTTCATTTTCTCAGGGTTGCTAACGCTTTGTGCAGGCTCGCTTCGCGCTGATCGGCTGCTTTCTTCTCAAGGAAAAGCGAGAAAATACCATATCCCAGAAATGGAGAAAATGAATAGCGACATTAGTTAAAATAGTGTTGCAGCAAAAACAAAAACATTTAAACGAATTGATCCTATCATGAAATTAATGTGAATATTATTTTGTTCATTTAGTTATGATGTAATGCTTCACTGTTGGCACAGCAACCCAAGAAKACGCCCAACATTTGATGAACTCTGTAACAAGATGGAAGCACTTCTTGCAGTTTACGCATAAAATTGTTATGCGACATTAGTCACATGACTATTTCTCTCTCTTTTGGCTATCTCGACTTCACCTACTTTTTCCCCGAGAACACCTATAATATTATCGTAATAATAGCTTATGTGTACTCAGCTACCGTCCAATAACTAGTATGCTAGCAATGGTAAACATCCATTAATGTGTTATAAGACAACATTTTTAAATTAATATTCATGAACATTTTCTAGTAATAAAGTCAGTCACTAGGTTACCGTTAACTTCCACCTGAGTTATTGCATCAATAGAACATATACTTATTTTGACATAATTTTGATTAGATATAAAATATGACATTTGCTTCGTATACATCACGTTTCGTTTAGCTGTTTA